TGAAGAGGCTTGGTTATTAAGTGGCTCGATAGTAGCTCACCTCCCTCTAAAGTTCAATTTGTACTCTTAGACCTCCAAGTACCAAGTCTAGCACTTCAAAAATATATTTTCTTTAAAAGCTATTTTGTGTGAAAATTCTTTTTGTTTAAAATGTCTCTAGATTCTGATCCTAGTGAAAGTGATGGCTCTCCAAAAAGTCTTTCTTACCTTACTAAAGAGCTTAAATCACTTAAACTATGGAGAAAGCAAGAGGCCTTTCAAAGAGAAAAGGAAAAAATTGAAAGGGAAGGCCAACTTGCTTATCTTGAAGAAGAATTGAGACTTCTTAAACAAGAAGAGGAAAAATTAACTTAAAGAAAGCATGAGAAAACAAAAGAGGAGAAGTAAGAGCTCCTATTCACAGTATTCTTCTCCTAATGAAAGCCTCAATGTAGGTGACCATTATCAACCTCTTTCTAGAAGAACTATTAAACCTAGGGAATCCAAGGTGGATCTCCCTCAATTTTTTGGGAAGGATGATGTGGAAGCCTACCTTGATTGGGAGATGAAGGTAGAGAAACTCTTTGCTTTCCACAAGGTGAGTGAAGAGAGAAAAGTCTCACTTGCAACCCTTAGCTTTCAAGGGCATGGAATGTATTGGTGGACCTCTTTGGAAAAAAAGAGGCGCCTCCACAATGATCCTTCTATCCAATATTGGAATGATCTTAGGAGTGCATTGAGGAGGAGACACATTCCCTCTTATTATGGTAGGGAGCTTATGAACAAGCTCCAAAGGCTCCAACAAAAAGATATGACTATTGAGCAATATAGGCAACAAATGGAGCTATACATGATGAGAGCATGTATTAGAGAAAAGGAAGCCACCACAGTAGCTAGATTCCTAAGTGGTCTTAACTTAGAGATTAGAGACCAAGTGGAGCTACTACCCTACAAGGACCTAAATGACTTGGTCCAACTTTGTGTAAGGGTAGAACAACAAATATTGAGAAAATCTTCTTCTAAAAGAGAAAGCTCCCACTCTAGATCTCTTAAGAAAGATTACATGGAGGAGGAAAAATCTTTTGAAAAGAAAATTATTTCAGAACCCTCCAAGGAATTGGCTAAAAATAAAGATAAAAATAAGGATAAAGATATCATCACTCCACTCAGTAGCACAAAGACTACTGATATAAAATGTTTCAAGTGTCTAGGGAGAGGCCACGTTGCTTCTCAATGCCCTACAAAGAAAGTCGTGATCTTAAGGGGGCATGACACTTATAGTAGTCAAGAAGAGACTACTACCTCCTATTCAAGTGAGAGTGAGGTTGAAACAAAGCTTTAAAAGTCCAAGGTGGAGTCGGTTTATCCTTATAAAGGAGAGCTCCTAATGCTTAGGAGAATCCTTCATAATCAACCTAGTGGTACCCTATCACAAAGAGAGAACATCTTTCATACAAGATGTAATGTTTTAAATAATGTTTGTTCTCTCATTGTTGATAGTGGTTCATGGTGCAACTGTTGTAGCACTAGGTTGGTTAAAAA